TACACTACTTATTTCTGTGAGACATTGTCCTCATAAACTTTTCATAAAGTGTCAATGATTTCACTGTTTTTCCACCCAAGCTTCACCATAAATCTGATGTTTGGCTTGCTTCAATTTTAGTAGAATTTATGTTGCTCTAATAGGGAGTCTTTTCAAACGGATGTCCTATCCTCCTTTGTGGCTTAAACTAGATACTGCTCAGACATATTACAACAAGTTAATACAAGTTTATTTTGATGCAAACTTTTTAAAATTCATGCATCATTTTTTCATAGTATGCATTTTTCATGAACTTTTTGAAGACCTCTTGTATTTTCTAGGAGAGATTTGTATTGGTGTTATTTTTTAAATTAAAAAATTTTTTTACCTAATACAATGTATTTTTTTTTTATTCCTTTGAGACATCATTTTTGACTCATGGATTATTTAGAGCTATGTTAGCATCCAAGTGTCAGAATATTTTTCTTTTCTTTTTTTTTTTGAGACAGAGTCTCGCTCTGTTGCCCTGGCTAGAGCACAGTGGCACGATTTTGTAATTTTTTTTTTTTTTTGAGATGATGGAGTCTCTCTCTCTTTTTTTTTTTTTTTTGACAGAGTCTCACTCCGTTGCCCAGGCTGGAGTGCAGTGGCATGATCTTGGCTCACTGCAACCTCCACCTCCCAGGCTCAAGTAATTCTCTTGCCTCAGCCTCCCAAGCACCTGGGATTACAGGCATGCACCACCACACCTGGCTAAATCTTGTATTTTTAGTAGAGACAGAGTTTCACCGTGTTGGCCAGGCTGATCTCGAACTCCTGACCTCAAGGGATTCGCTTGCCTCAGTGTCTCAAAGTGCTGGAATTACAGGTGTGAGCCACTGTGCTCAGCCTGTGATTGTTGAATAGTGTATTCTATAAATGTCAGTTTCCATTGGTTAGTGATGTTGCTGAGTTCTTCTGTATTCTTGCTGATTTTCTCTTTAGTTGTTCTGTTATTTGTTGAGAGAGAAGTGTTGACGTCTCCAATTATAATTGTGGATTTATCTGTTTCCCTTTTTAGTTCTATGAGATTTTGTTTCACAGCTCTGTTGTTTGGTGCATACACATTTAGGGTTGCCATGTCTTTTTGGTGGATTGACTCCTTATCATTTATAATTTTCCTCTCTCTCTTTTTTTGTTGTTTTTTGTTTTTTGTTTTTTTGCGTGATCTTGGCTCACTGCAAGCTCTACCTCCCAGGTTCACGCCATTCTCCTGCCTCAGCCTCCTGAGTAGCTGGGACTACAGGCGCCCACCAGCACGCCCAGCTAATTTTTTATATTTTTAGTAGAGACGGGGGTTTCACTGTGTTAGCCAGGATGGTCTCGATCTCCTGACCTCATGATCCACCTGCCTTGGCCTCCCAAAGTGCTGGGATTACAGGTGTGAGCCACCGCGCCCAGCCTCTCTTGAAACAGGGTCTCATTCTGTCATCAGACTGGAGTGCAATGGTGCGATATGGGCTCACTGCAACCTCCGCCTCTCAGGATCAAGCGATTCTCCTGCCTCAGCCTCCCAAGTAGCTGGGATTACAGGCACGCACCACTACCGCCTGGCTCATTTTTGTATTTTTAGTAGAGACGGGATTTCATCATGTTGGCTGGGCTGGTCTTGAACTCCTGACCTCAAATGATCCACCCGTGTTGGCCTCCCAAGTTGCTGGGATTACATACATGAGTCACTGCTCCCGGCCTAATTTTCCTCTATATCCCGGTAGTTTTCTTTGTCCTGAACTCTATTTGATAAATACTTCTTCTTTCCTTTAATCACTTCTGACTAAAAAATTAAAGTTGAGCAAATTTCTTCTCAATGGGTGCCAAAACCATTGCACCCAGATCAGCTGCAGATAAGAGCTGAGTTTCCATGGAAATTTTAAACAATGGGATCAAGATTCTGAATACTTTCTTTGGAGAATTGTAACAGGAGATGAAACATGGCTTTAGCAGTATGATCTTGAAGACAAAGCACAATCAAAGCAATGCTACCAGGAGGTGTAAATGATCTAGCCAAAGTAAAAGCAGACTGGTCAAAAGCAAAGGTCCCAACATACACAAAAAGCAAAGGTCATGGCAACAGGTTTTGGGGATGCTCAAGGCATTTTGCTTGTTGATATAGCTTTTACATTTTTTATTTGAATCTCCCTGTATTTTTATATTTCAAGTGAGATACTTGTAGGCAGCATGTAATTGGGTCTTTTTTTAATTCACTTTGTCAGTTTTTTTTCTCTTTCTCTTTCTTTTTCTTTCCTTTTCTTTTCTTTTTTTTTTTTTTTGTTTTTGTTTTGAGACAGGGCTTTGTTCTGTCACTCAGGCTACAGTGCAGTGGTATGGTGTCGGCTCACTGCAGCCTTGATCTCTCAGGCTCAAGTTGTCCTCCTACCTCACTCTGCTGAGTAGAGGAAAGAATGATTTCATTCTCATGATTTTGAGGACCAGGCCCAAGGCCCTGCTGGCATGTGACCCTTGGGACACTGCTTCCAGGATCCTGACTGCTTTGGCTCCAGCTGGAGCCCAAAGGGCCACAGGTACAGCTCTGGCCACTGCGTTGGAGAGTTCAGGCCACCATAAACCTTGTTGGCTTCCACATGGTGTTAAGCCTGTAGGTGCACAGAATGCAAGTGTGAAGGAGGCTTGGCAGCTTCCACCTAGATTTCAGAGGATGTATCAGAAAGCCTTGATGCCTAGGCAGAAGCCTGCCCTAGGATGGAGCTCCCATAAAGAACTACTAGAGCAATTCCCAGGAGAAATGTGGAGCTGGAGCTCTCCCACTGAGTTTTCACCAGCGTATTTTCTAGTGGAGCTGTGGGAAGGGGGTCACCATCCTCTAGATCCGAGAATAATCTAAGAATGCCAGCAGCAGCTTGCACCCTGAGCCTGGAGAAGCTTCAGGCATTCAATTCCAAGCCATGATATCAGCCATGGGAGTTGCACCCTACAAAGCCATGGAGGTGGGGCTGCTCAAGGCCTTAGGAGTCTGCTCTGTGCACCAGTGTGCCTTGGGTGCAGGACATGGAGTCAATAATTATTTTGGAGCTTTAAGATTTAATGTCTGCCCTGTGTGGTTTCAGACTTGTGTGGGACCTGTTCCTTTCTTTTGTCTGTTTTCTCCCTTTTAGAATGGGAATGTTTACCCAATGCAATGCCTGTACCACCATTGTATCTCTTTTTTTAAATCTTACAGGCTCATAGGTGGAAGAAACTTGCTTTGAGTCTCAGATGGGACTTGGGACTTTTGATTGAGTTGATGCTGGAACAAGTTAAGATTTTGGGAGAACTATTGGTAAGGAATGATTGGATTATGCAACGTGAGAAGGACATGAGATTTGGAGGGCTGAGGTGGAATGATATGGTTTGGATATTTGGCTCCTCTGAATCTCTTGTGGAAATGTGATCCCCAATGTTGGAGGTGGACCTAGTTGTGGGTGTTTGTGTCATGGGGGCAGATTCCTTATGAATGGCTTGGTGCTTGGTAATGAGTGAGTTACCACTTTATGAGTTCACATGAGATTTTCTTTTAAGAGTGTGGCACCTCCTCCCTCTCTCTCTTGCTTTCTCTCTCTCTTACCATGTGATATGCTGGCTCCCTCTTTGCTTTCAGTTGTGATTGGAAGCTTCCTGAGGCTCTCACCAAAAGCAGATGCTGGCACTATGCTTCTTACATAGCCTGGAGAACTATGAGCCAAATAAACCTCTTTTCTTTATAGATTACCCAGCCTCAGGTATTCCTTTATAGCAATGCAAAATGGACTAATGCACCACCCCAGCAGAGAGTGGGAGGTGGCAGCGTGTTATTTTCTGCATAGGGGTACTAGTCCAGGCTGTCCACATGGTCTCCTCTGATACCACGGCTGTGGAGCATGTTAGCAGTTGGGGGAATGAAAGTCTCAGTTTCATTCTGACACCACCAGAAGTATTGGGTTTCCTCATTAACAGCTTTGCAAGAGTGTAAATCTAGATTCCCCAGTCAACTTTTGCTGGTGTGGGGCCACAGTGTTTTCTTGTGGTGATTATCTGGAGTAAATTATTATCTAGGAGCTTTTTGTCTTGCTAGGCTGCCTATTTCCTGGTCCTTTGTCTAGAAAGAGCATGCTTTTTTTTTTGAGCTTTTTGCATCAGTACCTAATAATGTTTCTGGCTGTTGGCTTCTTCAGGTCCAAGTCTGGAATAGATAAGGCAAAAACTCAGAGAGTTCACCACTGTGTCATTCTTCAAAATGTATAACACATTAAAGTATTTTGCACTTCCAAATGTTGACAATGTTCTCTAAATCTACTAACCTTTAGAATGTTTCCAAGTTCAAAGTTTGCTTCACTTTTGGACTAAGAGAATACTCATGTATTTTATATTGCTCCATCTTTTGTAATAAAGTAATTACTACATTGAACTGTTAAAAAATATAAACTACTTGTTAAAAATAAAATAGCTCCATGTTTTATCTATATCTTAATTATCAAGTAAACAAGGATTTAGGCTTTCTGATTATGAAGACATACTGGATTAAATAATCCTTATTCACATTAATATCCTTAACTATTCTTAGTACTTAAAATATAAACATTATGGCTATTCCTTTAAAAAATAACTAGTGATAGCTTATTCAGATCACATTTCTTAGTCAAACTAAGATGTAGCTATGGGATTCTGATTATGAATCGGACTGAAAATGAAAGAGAGGTTTATTAATAAGTAGGTTATTCTCAAATTATTTTTAAATCTATCTTTGCATTAGATTTACATTTTTCTTTTGACTATGGACTATGTTAATACTCTCAGTATGTGTCTTTGATATTGCGATTCAATATCCATATGATTTTTGTTATAATATGACAATGTTTAGTCTTGATAAGAAAAAAGCATGGCTGAAAATTTTGCATAGGAATAAACGATCTAGTGGACACTGATTCAATTAGGAGTACTGATTTCTGGAAGTTAGAGTTATAAGTTCAATACATAGGTCATTATGTTATATAACAAGCAACAAAGGAAAATGTCACAAATATCTTTATTCTAACAGTTAAAGTATCAGAAAATGATGAAGTTGTTCATACCACATTAAAGGAATTTTACATGTGTTCAGAAATTTTCCCAAATGTCATCTGTAAGTACCTGATAACTATATATACATGTGCATATGTATGTGTGTGTGTATAATATCATTTAAAAAATAAACACCCAAGCTATCCTAGAATAAGGTAAATCATATCAGTCAAAGTATCTTATTTTAAAACTTTGACATTCAGCTGCAAATATTTAATGATAAAAATATATGAGCTGATAAACTGTTTTAAATAAAATGATGTAAGGAGAGGTTAAGTATATCTTAAAGTTTCTGATTCAATTGTAATATGTTTGTAATCATTACCAAAGGAAAATGCTGGATTACACACTCTCCAATGAGATTTGAAATGTCGTGGGTCTTCAAAGGACATAAAATTGAAAATGATTACATTGAATAAATTGCAGACGGATATAGAGATTGCATTTTGAAAATCAATGAATGGATCTAAACTTTACATTGGCCACATGATGTCGCTGTACACCACAAAGTCTTGTCAAAAGGAGCTACTGATCACTAAAAGTAAAGGAGGAAGCTCCATTTTGTCACTGCCTGAAAGAAGACAGAAACGGTAAAGAGATAAATGATTGGAAATATTAGATAAAAATAGCATGATTTTGAAGTAAGGGGAGAGCATAAAAAAGGTGTAGTCCTTTTGCAATGGTGTTTTCTAGGAGAGGAGGCCTGGGAGTCCAGGATCTGCTTCTTTCGCTTCTGCTCCTCGCAGCCTGGGAGATGGGGAGCGGCCAGCTCCACTACTCGATCCCGGAGGAAGCCAAACACGGCACCTTTGTTGGCCGCATTGCTCAGGACCTGGGGCTGGAGCTGGCAGAGCTGGTGCCGCGCCTGTTCCGGGTGGCGTCCAAAACACACGGGGACCTTCTGGAGGTAAATCTGCAGAATGGCATTTTGTTTGTGAATTCTCGAATTGATCGCGAGGAGCTGTGCGGGAGGAGCGCGGAGTGCAGTATCCACCTGGAGGTGATTGTGGACAGGCCGCTGCAGGTTTTCCATGTGGAGGTGAAGGTGAAAGATATTAACGATAATCCACCCGTCTTCAGAGGCAGAGAACAAATAATATTTATTCCTGAATCTAGACTCCTGGATTCGCGTTTTCCGATAGAAGGAGCTGCTGATGCAGACATTGGTGTTAACGCTCTTCTAGCGTACACCCTCAGCCCGAGTGATTATTTCTCTTTGGATGTACAGTCAAATGATGAACTGAGTAAATCTCTTTGGCTTGAATTGAGAAAATCTTTGGATAGAGAAGAAACACCAGAACTTCGCTTATTACTGACAGCCACTGACGGGGGTAAACCGGAGCTGCAAGGTACAGTTGAGCTGCTGATCACCGTCCTCGACGTTAATGATAACGCCCCACTGTTTGACCAGGCCGTATACAGAGTCCACTTATTAGAGACTACAGCAAATGGAACATTAGTGACCACATTAAATGCCTCCGACGCTGACGAAGGTGTAAATGGTGAAGTTGTCTTTTCCTTTGACAGTGGTATTTCTCATGACATTCAAGAAAAATTCAAAGTTGATTCCAGCTCAGGAGAAATCAGGTTAATTGATAAACTGGATTATGAAGAAACAAAATCCTACGAAATTCAAGTAAAGGCAGTTGATAAAGGAAGTCCTCCGATGTCAAACCACTGCAAGGTTTTGGTGAAAGTGCTGGATGTAAATGATAATGCTCCAGAACTGGCGGTCACTTCATTGTATTTGCCTATCAGAGAGGACGCTCCACTCAGCACTGTCATCGCCCTCATCACCGTGTCTGACCGTGACTCAGGTGCCAACGGGCAGGTGACTTGCTCCCTAATGCCCCATGTACCCTTCAAGCTGGTGTCCACCTTCAAGAATTACTACTCGTTAGTGCTGGACAGCGCCTTGGATCGCGAGAGCCTGTCGGTCTTTGAGCTGGTGGTGACCGCGCGGGACGGGGGCTCGCCTTCGCTGTGGGCCACAGCCAGCGTGTCCGTGGAGGTGGCCGACGTGAACGACAACGCGCCAGCGTTCGCGCAGCCCGAGTACACAGTGTTCGTGAAGGAGAACAACCCTCCGGGCTGCCACATCTTCACTGTGTCTGCGTGGGACGCGGACGCGCAGGAGAACGCGCTGGTGTCCTACTCGCTGGTGGAGCGGCGGGTGGGCGAGCGCGCGCTGTCGAGCTACGTGTCAGTGCACGCGGAGAGCGGCAAGGTGTACGCGCTGCAGCCGCTGGACCACGAGGAGCTGGAGCTGCTGCAGTTCCAGGTGAGCGCGCGCGACGCGGGCGTGCCGCCTCTGGGCAGCAACGTGACGCTGCAGGTGTTCGTGCTGGACGAGAATGACAACGCGCCGGCGCTGCTGGCGCCTCGAGTGGGTGGCACTAGCGGTGCAGTCAGTGAGCTGGTGCTGCGATTGGTGGGCGCGGGTCATGTGGTGGCGAAGGTGCGCGCAGTGGACGCCGACTCAGGCTACAATGCGTGGCTGTCCTATGAACTACAGCCGGCGGCAGGCGGCGCGCGCATGCCGTTCCGCGTGGGGCTGTACACGGGCGAGATCAGCACTACTCGTGTTCTGGACGAGGCTGACTTGTCGCGCTACCGTCTTCTGGTGCTGGTGAAGGACCACGGTGAGCCGGCGCTGACAGCCACGGCCACTGTGCTTGTGACTCTGGTAGAGAGCGGCCAGACGCCAAAGGCCTCTTCGCGGGCGTCGGTGGGTGTCGCGGGGCCAGAGGCGGCGCTGGTGGATGTCAACGTGTACCTGATAATCGCCATCTGCGCGGTGTCCAGCCTGCTGGTGCTCACACTGCTGCTGTACACGGCGCTGCGGTGCTCAGCGCCGCCCACCGAGGGTGCGTGTGCGCCGGACAAGCCCACTCTGGTGTGCTCCAGCGCGGTGGGGAGCTGGTCGAACTCACAGCAGAGGCAGCAGAGGGTGTGCTCTAGCGAGGGCCCACCCAAAACCGACCTCATGGCCTTCAGCCCAGGCCTACCTCCAAGTCTTAACACGTCAGAAAGAAATGAACAACCAGAAGCAAATTTGGATCTTTCTGGTAATGTAAGTCCAACTTTCGAGTTTTGGCTTTAAATAGTTTTCACATTTAACTTGTCTAATCATCTTTTCAAATATCACTTTAAAACAATGTCTTCAAGGTGTTCACTAACGTTGAAATAAATCGTACCGTTGAATGTAGATATCCTATTAATGCCAGTTTTGTCTCGAATGGAACTAGAAAGCAAAAAAAAAAAAAAAAAAAAAAATGTAGGGACAAATTGTCATATTTCTTGATTATTTAAATCAAGAAATACGGCCTGGTCAAACAGTGGGGCGTTATCACTAACGTGGAGGACGGTGATCAGCAGCTCAACTGTACCCTGCAGCTCCGGTTATTTCCGGCAGGTTAAAAAAAGCTACAATACAAGGTACAATATAAGATAACGTTGATCATATTTAACACAGGATCTCAATGTAGTAAAATAACAGTGATATATTCAGGGTAACTTATTATGTTATCTTTTCTTGTAAAATGTCAAGCCCCGGACAAACAATTCTAGACAAAGTTACAGAAATCATCTGCCTTTCCTTTATGTGGGTAAGTTTCAAAGTGAACAATAAACTGAATAGTTTTAAGCAAATGTAATTTAAAATACATTAATTGGCCAGGGGCGGTGGCTCACGCCTGTAATCCCAAAACTTTGGGAGGCCGAGGTGGGCAGATCACCTGAGGTCAGGAGTTTGAGACCAGCCTGGACAACATGGTGAAACGCCGTCTCAACTAAAAATACAAAAAAATTGGCCAGGCATGGTGGGGGCGCCTGTAATCCCAGCTTCTGGGGAGGCTGAGGCAGGAGAATCGCTTGAACCTGGGAGGTGGAGGTTGTAGTGAACCGAGATCACCCCACTGCACTCTAACCTGGGCGACAGAGTGAGACTCTGTCAAAACAAACAAAAACAAAAACAAACCAAAACCGACCAACCAACCAAACAAAAACACCATTTATTGGGCGATTTGTTTAATTTCTTTATGACAACACACAACCACGACTTCATTGTCATTGTGAACAATTTCCTGATGCCATTAGCCTTGAGTTCCCCTGGGTCTAGAAGGCTTAATGTTGCATGTATTTGCTGTGGGATCCAGTTAGGAAACACTTATTAAGCACCTCCCATTCCTCCCATTCACTCACAAATGTTCTAAAACCCTTTACTTTTTAGCTCATTCAATCCTTCCTACGATTTTATGAAGACTTTAGTCACATTTTGTGGATAAAGGTGCTGAGGCTCGGAAAAACTAAGTTCAGTATTATTACTAAGTTTTCTTCAAATTTCCTGAGGATATCCAAAACTTGCTTGCTGTCATACAGTTCTTTACCTTTCCTAAAATGTTTAAGGTAGCTTACAGTGGAAGAAATTTGCAAAAGCAAATTATTTAAAAATCTGCTTAAGGCCAAAGTAAAAGATCAAGAGAAAGATGAGAGTCATTATTTCAAAAATCAAGCCTAGGCTGAGTGCAAATCCCAATGCTTACCATCCTGTAAGTCAATATAGGAGTATGAAAAATAACAATAAAAGGAAATTCTCTATACTATTTCTTCAAGAGAGAAAACAATAGCCTCTTTCTGCTACAAAATCAAGGAAGGTTTGATTACTGATGATTGTGTAAAGGTTGAGCAATATACTGGGCAGCATGTTTTATAGCAGTTTTGCAAAAGCCACGGAAATATCCTTGATGTAGACATCATTGTGTTTGCTAGTCATTCAGTCATGGGCATAATGTTAAATTTTATTTCCTATGTTTACTTCTGAAGTTACTTAAATATTAAATGAATATATTTTTATTTGTCAAACATTCAAACATATGTGAATGTCCCATTGTGAAGACATTCTATGAGAAATTAATATAGTTTGCTAGTTAAGTTTCCAGAGATTTGAGTTGATACAGAGTTGTTGCTTAGAGTATTGTAAAAAAAATAGGCTGTAAGCATGTTCTGTAACTTTTAATATTTTTTTTTTTTTTTTGAGACGGAGTCTCGCGCTGTGTCACCCAGGCTGGAGTGCAGTGGCGCGATCTCGGCTCACTGCAAGCTCCGCCTCCCAGGTTCACGCCATTCTCCTGCCTCAGCCTCCGAGTAGCTGGGACTACAGGCGCCCGCCACCACGCCCGGCTAGTTTTTTGTATTTTTAGTAGAGACGGGGTTTCACCATGTTAGCCAGGATGGTCTCGATCTCCTGACCTCGTGATCCACCCGCCTCGGCCTCCCAAAGTGCTGGGATTACAGGCTTGAGCCACTGCGCCCGGCCCTTTTAATATATTATCATACTCAGCCTTTTGGCAAGAATCAGAAAAAAAAAAATCTTAGGATCATGTTGCCAAGAAAATGTCCCAGTTCCTCAAAATATGAGACAAACTTTGTAGGATTATAAAATTGGAAAAAAATAGATCAGAAAAATCACAAAATAATTTCTCTTTCCAATTCACATTACTATGTCCCCAGAGCTTCATTTGCTAACAATATTAATGTCCAGGCTTAGGATTGCCTTTAGATACATTCAATATTTCCTTATTTAGTTTTCTAGGTTAGTTGAGGTTATTAACTTGAAAGTGAATCACAAATAATAGTGAATTACTATTAAACCAAAATAAATGGGTGTAGGAGTGCAAAATTTGAAAAGTAATTTTATGAAAAGGTAATTCTAGAATGGAAGAAAAGATGATTGTGGAGTGGTATTGTCACTTAGTATTTATTTTAATGTAAATATGAATGGATTTCCCATTGGTAGTTAAAGTTCTTCCTCCATTCCAAATCTTCATATAGTTAACACAACTTTCAACAGGCTTATCTTTCTTCATGAGATTTCTTCCACAAACTAGTAAGGTATCATTTGAGGGACCTTAGAGACTTGTGGTCAGTGAAGGATGCAAATAGATGAAAATGAGAAATGGTTTGTGTTGGTAGCCACTACCAATATTCCTCTGAGAATGCTGGAGGATTTCATTTTTTTGTTGTTTTGAAGTAGCACGATTGCGTGATTTCCTTTGGCCAATGAAATGTGAATGGTGTGTCACTTCCAAGCAGAATTATGTAACTGCCAGTGAAAGACTCTTCTGCTATCTTTTCCTGTTACAGCAATTACATAAGCACTGAGTAATTGTACAGCAATTACATTGATACTGAGATGCCATAAAGTCAAAGCAATCCAGGATGCTGAGCCAACATGTGGAGAAAAGCTGTCATAGGAAGTCCCCCAAAACTACAAAGGACTCTGTAGGAGCAATAAATAAAATTAGGTTTACTTTAGAGGAAAAACTGAATGTTAACTCACAACAGCATATGTATTGGGGTTCCGCTGCCATTAAGCTAATATGAACAGAACAAATTTTAAGAGGAGGGCATTTTTTTTTACAACAGGAAATACAACTGTAGGAGAAAATTATTGTTGACACTTTCCACTAAGACATCTGACCATTAAGCAGATTAGATAACTTGAATTCCATGGAAAAAATCTACTGTGTTTTGATTACTTTTTCTTAAATATAGAAGGTAGCAGAAGAAAAATAATAAACTGAAATTTTAAATGTCATAGATATTCCTTCTTTTTTCTTGCTTAGGATCCATTCCCTTTGTTGTTTTTTTCTTCTAGGGTCTTCTAGTAGTTTTGTGAAAGACTAGGTTGAAGGTTTTGCAAGAATGAGTGCTTGGACATGTAAACGTTAAGGGACATACAGTTGCGTACATAGGTGCAAAGGGTATAATTTTAGCAATGGGTACTATATTAGTTTTCTTGGGCTGATGCAACAAATTACCACAGACTTGGTGGCTTGAAACAGCAGAAATTTATTCTCTTACAGAGTCTCTGTAAGAATAAATTTCTTCTTTCTTACAGAGGCCAGAAGTCCAAAATCAAGGTGTTGCCTGGGCCACATTTCTTCTGAAGACTTTAGGGGAAAACGTTTTCTT